CTGAGAGCCAAACAGGTGGGACTGAGAAGGCGCTGCCCAGGCCCTCTCCTTCCCTGCAAGGACTGATGCCATAAAAAAATCAGTAAGAAGTACACTATACATCCCAGGTTAGTTAAAACTCATCCCTCCCTGCCAAAACAAAACCCCAAAGTCTTGTGTGTTACTCTCTTAGTAAGGAAGAAAGTTTTTCCACTAATAAAAAAGAACTAAAGTAGAAACTAATCCAACTTGATGTGAATTTGCAGTATTTAGAAAACATCACCACTGTCATTCGCACTGCTTTGATCAGCGTGCCGGTGACACCGACCCCCTCTCCTGCACCTCAGACCCCCACGGGCCTCCTGGGACGCGGGCCAGAAACACATTTGGATGAGCTCAGGAGGGCTGGGACTGGATAATGATGCTTCGCCAGGTCGTGTTGCAAGTAACTCTTGCAACAAGGAGGCGGTTTCTGACAGTAGAATTCATCATGTAGGATGTATACCTATATTGAGGGGCAAACATGATGGAGGTAGGAAGTTTATACATTAGATCCTTTTTCAAATTTTTTTTTTTAACACGGAATATTCAAAGTCCCATGGCCCATCCCCACACCAGGGGACTGTTCACTCAGCTCCCAGGGTGAGGAACTCACGCATCCGCTTGTGCCTGTGGCTTTTCTGCCCTGCTTCATTAGTATTTTCCCTGGCTTCTCTCTGCCTTGCTGGCCCTTTTGCCACTCCACAAGTGGCACATCAAAGACGGGAAGAGCTTTCTTTCCCCTTTCTTTTCCTCACCTCCTCTTCTCGGCTTTGCATGAGTGAAGAAGGAACAAGACTGAAGTTTCTCAGCTGAAGCTGAAATCTAGCACCTAAATCTGACTTCTTTGCCCTGAATAAGGGCATTTTCACCTAAGAGGTTTTTGCAAGCAGAATGAACAGAACAAGCTCTCCAAATGACTCAAAAGCAAATGAATACAACGCAAGGAGAGAAGTGAAGGGCAAGTTGTGTGTTTAAACTTGCTGACACTTGTATGGCCACTGTCCCATTCATTAGTCTTCTCCCTTTCTTCTTCCTTTAACCCTGACATCTACTTCCCTTAGGATGTTTAATAAGGATGCCACAAACTGACTGCTTAGTGCCACAACTATGCTGACAAAACCTTCAAGCCTGTGAGTAACTCTACTGGAATAGAAGAGCTGTCAAATTTACTGCAGCGTTACTATGGAATAAGCTGTTGCAACAAAACACACTTATATTGGTATCGTTACTTCCACAGGCTTTTAAAATAGCAATAGTCACTCTAAAAAAAACAACCAACAAAAAAATCAAAGAACCAAAACCCCTCCAAAACCCTGGGTCTGTTGGAAAAATCTCTGTTTGGACACAGGCTCCAACAATCTGCAACAAAAGTTATAGTTATTTGTGTGGCATTGGAAAAACAAACAGCAACACCCAACTCCTTGCAGAGTTATCATAACAGCCTCTCCTAAGGTACTCTGTACTTCATGTTACAAACAGAAAAATGGGCAGATTAAACAGTAAGATCATGTTCCAATTTGTTATGTACAGTATCTTTATTTCATTTCTGAGATTGTTATAAAAGCAATATAACATTCATTCTTTCATTTAGCAAAGACATCCTTCCTACAGTCATGCTGCACAATCTTTTCAAGAAATAAACCAGAAGCTTTGCACTCACGTCACAAAAATATTTTGAATAAAAATATAATTTTGTATTTTACATGTCTAATTTGGAGCATTGAGCAAACTGGCAAGAACATTTCATCCTAGAAACACGGTTAAAATCAAGCAACCGGTCTACATAAGATACTGCATGTTAACATCCATCACATGCAGACTCCAGCTGGTCTTCAGAAAATAAAATACCATCCTCCCCTGAGCTGTCTTTGCAGCCTGAGTATGGAGTCCCCTCTGCTCCAAGTCCTTGCTGCTGTCGGCATTTCTGCTCTAGATGCACAGATGATGACGGGGAAGTGCCAGATCATCGCTCACATGTGGGTATCGAATGGAAGAAGTGCCCCACGGCCCACAGCCTGATCACAGGAGGTGATGACCGCATCAGTTTGCATGAGCACACCGCAATTCTCCTTGGACAGGTACCTAATCTTTGCCTATTCAAGGGCTTTTTTGTTGTTAGTGGGGGGTGATTTTTTTCAAGAAGATTGACAAGAAACTCGCGCTGGCCCCCGATTACATAAAATGAAGCAGATTCCTGAGGCAAAACCATACCATTATCTCCATCAGACCAGCCTGTATTTTCCCTGGCCCATCATCATGCAATTCATTTGCCGACAGCTATGCATTGCTGTGCACAGGCAGCACCGCAGGCAGACGGCTTAGGAGAAGACTTTGGCAACTGCTGTGCCCAGCTCAAGCTGGTCGCTGCTCTGCAGTCATACTTAAAAATTCTTCTGAAGCGAAGAGCACCAAAGGCTGCATTATTTCTATGGACCACGGCACCATGAGTGGATGCGATCATACAGCTTCATAGCAACAAATCCCAATTTACCTACAAATTAGATATCCAGCTGGTGCCATCTGCCTGTCGGTGGTTACATATCACCCAGCCTCTACGGGAAGAGCCTGCAGCATCTCCTCCTCGCTCGGACTGCTGTTTCACACATTGCGCTGTGGCTGGGCCATTAAATAGCACAGGGCAGCAACTCGCTGGATGGTTAATGGTTAGTGAAGTGTCAGGATGGGCTGGTGCCCACTGGCACGGCACCCGTGCTCTTCTGGACTTGCCCTGCCCAGGCCCCCCGAGCCCCTCAAACCCAGGGGAGGCACGTATGCTGGGCATCTCAGAAAGATCAGGCCCAGACTCTTTTTGTTTTACCAACAGCAAAATAATTATAAGATACATACATGCACACACATTACATACAAGTTAGGCATGACCTGGCTACAGTTTGTATTAAATGACTGTCGCTTTTTGTTAGGTACTGTGAGGGCATCTGACTACTGGAGAAATGTATTGCAAGGTGATTCACTGCCATGCCACTCAGAAAGCCATTTAGCATTTCATACATTTAGGGAGAGCTATTTCTTTGTAATCCACACTGCACCAGGCACCAATGCATAAATAAACAGCAGTTTAAATTTGCTGTTCTTCAGCAAGTCCCATCAGGCTATAAATAATTTTTATATATATTTTTAATACTTCATGACTTACCCTGCATTTTTCACCTTCATCTCCATACCAAAATATACATTAGTGCAAAAGGAGACCATTTTAAGACTGGAACTAGAGGACAAATATATTATTCATTATGATAAGATACTAATTCTTTTCTATTTCTATAGATTATTTAAGAAAAAATATAATCTTGTTACAAATGAAAATCATATTTCATATGTAAGTTTTAATTTACTGTATAGAATCACAGAATCATAGAGTATTCAGGTTGAAAGGAACCCTGGGAGGTTATTTAGTCATCTACTGGTCATCTAGTAGATAAACATCACATTTAATACAGCATAATCAGCTTTAGTAGATAAATAATTCTTAATTAACAAAAGCACATTTCCTTTAAAATATTCTTTCCAGTGACTGACATTATTCACATAGCAATAAAAATGCAATTACAGCTGAAGGCAATGCAGGCCTAGAGTTAGAAAGCAGAGAAAAATTACCTCACTGCTCTATATCGAGGACACTCCTAATGTAGTGATTCACAAGGCAGGCAAAATAACGTAGGGTTTTTTCCATTCTCTCTCTATTCCTACTAATAAACAATGTTGCTAATATTTTGCTGATTTATCTTGCTGAGAGAAAAATGAGAGGCCTGCAGACATTCAGTAATACTTTGGGATGAAATGCTGCCAGGGCCAGACCCAGTTGCTCAAAGGAGACCCCCCAGCCAACCTGGAAGAGGTTTGGAGCAACAGCTCCAAGATCTCAGACCTTGGCAAAAGCCGCAATAAAGTGCTGGATTATTATACCAAATGCTGGGATTTAAAGTCTCCACACTCAACACAAATGGCATGCAGAGACCATCTTACTAAACCACCCACAAGTTTGCAGCAGGTAAGCAGCCGGGCAGCAGCAGAGTGCCAGCTGCGTGCAACTTGCTGCGAGAGGGGCAGAAGCGGGGTGCCCCAGCCCTGCTGTGTCCATGGGTACAGGGCAACAGGGCACAGGGTCAGGCACAGAGTTGTCTGACAACCGAGACAGCAAGGACATCCCAGTTCCTGCTCTCTGCTTTTTTACTGAGCAAATCAAAGAGAAGCCCTTTCACGCTTTCCATCTCTTCCCATCCGATGGCATGACCCCTACAATCCCTGGACATACCCCTGCTGCTTTCCCCACTGAGAAAGACACAGTTCCTTTAGCTGAAGTTCCCCAATGACATCCTGAAGTCAGATACAGCCGTCAGCAACCTGAGTAGTAGTTAACTAATTTACCGAGATCTCTCAGCAACACAGGCTCGTGTCCCCCTGTTCTTCCCTCTGCATCTGCTTTAGGAAAGCGGGTATCCTTTCCCCTGGCGCTGCTTTGTGCAATTCTCCTCCGTCTCTGCTCAGTCACGTTCCCTGCTCCAGTCAGGTGTTTGCTCTGATCACACAACATCAGCATTAAACTCTAATTTGGAAAAGTAAACCATTTTGTTTCTCCCCAATCTTCACTTAGAGAATTTGACATTCAGGCTCTTCCATCACTCCGTGTCTTCAAAACATACTTTTACCTGTCCAACTCAGCGAGGGAAAACCAAGGAGGGGAAAGCATCTACTCAACAAAAGGCCCCAGGGAAAGTTGTGAGATAACTTCAACCACAGGAATTAAGGACTGGTCATAAACCAAACGTACTAAACCAGAGAAAACGATTTCTGGAAGCCATATGCTAGCAATCTCTTCCCAGTGTCAGTGTCCTGCAGTATCAGGGATTGTAAATGCCTTCCTAGCGCTGAAGCAATCACGACATTGTGCACTCTTATTTCAGATTTCCCAAGGGGATGCAAGAGAAAGGGCAGTGAGTGATGTATTCAAAAGGGCAGCTCTATTTATACCTTCTTTCTACCTTCTTGGAGTAGTAAGTAATAAAGGATATAGTAACAATAAAAGCAACAAATATGAAAGAGATAAAGGCTAATAATGATTTTCTGGTTCGGAAGAAGTGGCATTCAGGACACGAGGCAATCTCTTCTGGGCACAGCAGCTCAGGAGTTTCAGGACCAGGAAAACCGTTATTGTCAATTATTTCTCTGTAATGTTTCATAGAAGGTTTTGGTTCATACTGATTTGCAACGTAACTGTAGAGACCATATTTAGGAGCAGTCTTGTCATTAAAAGAATAGACAAAATATCCTTGCAGGTTAACATTATCCAAGGTGTAAGCTGCGAAAGAAAACAACGGGTTGAAGCAATGAATAAACATCACTTTGGCATTCAAGAGCAGTACCATATGCCAATACATAAAGCAGGGGCAGGGGGATGTTAAATCCACATCTACACTTCTCTTCCCTAAAATAAGGTAAGGCACACGTACATCTATGAAGTGTTTGTCATAAAAAGTAAGAATTTGTCAGCCATTGCCAGACAGTGTGATCTGTGAGTATCCTGTAATTTATTTCCTTGTGCTTGGTAAACACAGCTGTGAGTGCATGACTGGAGCCTATCATGAAAAGATGGCTCTTTTTTATGTATGAAAGAATAAAGGTTTTGGCTTTCCTGCACCTGGATTTCTGCAACCTGTTTCTCTGATTGCTCTTTCTCCCTTGCAGAGCACCTCCTGATGAGGACAGCCAAGGAATGGAGGACATCAGGCTGCACTTCTCACTAGCAAAGATACAGTGACACCAGAAAAAGACGCGTCCATGCTAAAGTCACGTACTGGGATATCACCAGTGCAAGTGGAAAGGTTATGCAGATCATAGTTCTCTCTTGTTATTGACCCAAGTTTCAGATCCAAGATGACCAGTATTAGTCTTTATTGAGAACATGTCCACAATCCATACTGCTACTGGAAGAGGTCCAGCAGCTGGAGCATTAACCTTAAGCCATCAGTCCTGCTTGACAAAACCAATCAATCCATAGTTGTAAATGCAAACTGTAATACTTTATCTTTCAAAATCACTATTTTAACAAATTAAAGCAACATCTTCTAGCAGATGAACACAGGACTGAAAGCTAACAATTGCTGAATTTTCATACACCTCTGAAAAAAATTATTTCTGCAGCCACACGCAGGACATTTAGTACCTCTAACCTACTTTTCAGGTGTAAAATGAAATAATATTTACCTGCCCTTTTACAGAGCTGCTACGCAGGATAATTAGTTAGTGTTGTAAAACCACATGTGGATTTAATGGTGTTACATAAATGGTTACTGCTGTTCTTCGTTTTCAGTTGGCAAAGATGTACTTAAACAGTGTACAAAGCACTTAAAAATACAGCCTCAGACCAAAGGGTCCCGTACTGTATTCTGGAATCATTTATCTGCACAAACCTGTTGGCTCCCCTGGAACAATGCAGGTGAGCAACATTACATGCACAAATGCTGCCACATGCAGTCCCTGAAACCAGCTGGAGGAAGAAGGCAGAATAGGAACTTTAAGGCGAGAGCACACATATACCAAATCCCCTCTCATTCCTCTCCAGCGTGACACTGAGGCAAGGACACGAGATCTGTAATTCATCTGTAATTCAACCCTCTGCACAGAGTCTTGCAGAAAAAATGCAAGTTTTGGAGAAACCTGAATCAGTCATGATGCCAAGGTTAAGAGCTTGCTCCCTGTGTAAGGACAAGATGGACAAAAGCACAATACCAGAATGGGAGAAGAAAAGAGAATGAAAAAGCTGGTATTACCGACGGACCAAACACTATGGAGGAGTGTATGATGTCAAAAGTGGGAGAATAAACTTTAGGGCAAGTATTATGGCTAGTTAGCAGGGACACATTCATCCATGACAAAGAAGGTGGAAAGATAGGAAAATATGGCTTACGTGTGGTGGTTAAGTTGAAAAACATAGGAGCTATTTCCAGGCTGGAGAGAAGAGGGGAGAAGGAAGTGATTGGGGGATACCAGTGACTGGTACCAGATCAGTACGAATGACAAAGTTCTGTAAAAAACAGGGGGATGTGCAGGTGTTCTGGCTAACGTGAGCTTGGAGAAAAGTCCATATCCATACACACTTCGAAAACAGAAGTGCCAACAACTGGTACAGTCTAAAATTCTTTCTACAGTAGAAAGGAGAGAAGCAATACAGAAGAAATATATGGAAACCATAAGCCCAAATATAGCCAAGATACGTTTTTAACTACAGATGCAGAAAACATGCAGCCAGTGCGTCAAAATGCTGGAGAAGGAACTCTTGGGCACTTAATATTGATGTTCAGTAATTCATGGAAGAGCTGGAAATTACACAGGAGGAAGTTAAAGACAATACTTAACAGAGTGGACAGGATGACCTAGCACATTATGGAACTTCCAGCCATCCTTCACTACCTAGCAAAAGAGTGGACTAGATTATATAAGGCTTGATAAATAAGAATTACAGGAGATATATATGATTAATACCAATCAGCTTAGCTTTATGAAAAATAAATCTTGTCAAACTAACTTGACATCTTTTTAATGAGATCAGCAGATCAATAAAAGCAATGATGTTTGATGTAATATACTTAAAACTTCACAAGGCAACTGACTTGGTATTATACGGCATTTGGATCAAGAAAATAGAATGTTACGAGGTCAAGTGGAGCCCATAATAAACAGATTTCAAATGGTCTCAAATAGAACTAGTAAGTCTTGAAATGTAATTGCAGGTAAGTAAGTGTCACAGTAGGTGTATTTCTACTGTGGTCATGGAGATTGGCTTTTAGCACTAAGATATTTAATTATCTTAAATATATCAGCAACCTGAAAGAGAAGTAAAACTATTTCTCACAAAGTTTGCAAATAACACAAAGATTAGGGACATAATTTAGCTAGTGTAGCAAGTTTTGCACAAGCAACTGGCATTCGAACATGACCAAATGTGAGGATGTCAAAGAACAAGCAGACCATACTTTGATAGAGGAAGTTCTGCTTGGGTGGCAGGAATCTGTAACCGAGTGTGTAATCTCAGTAAGTAACCACAGAGTTGTGTGTAATCAACCTGCTGCCATGGCCAAAATGGCTAACGGGCTGCTTAGATGTACGAAAGAGGAGTAAAAGGGTGAGAGGTTACGTTATACCTGCCTGAGATATAGGTGTGGCCGTGGCAGGAACAGTGTGTCCAGGTCTGGGTTTACCCCTCTTAAGAAGAATGCTGGCAAACAGGAAAAAGTTTAATAATTGAAAGGTTCTAAATGATGTTTTATAGTAAGGGATACAAAGAGCTTTGTTTCTGCTATTTATCAAAGAGATAAATGAGAGAGAGCTTGTTTTCTGTCTTTGAATACCTACATAGGTAAAATACATGGAAATGCCCAACAAAATGGCTTAAAGCTGAAGCTAAAGAAATTAATACTAGAAGTAAGATTTATATATATCTATACACACACTTATGTGTAAAAACAGTAAATAATTAGATGCTGCAACAGCTCACAGTGAGATGTAGAAAATTCTTCATCAGTAGAAATTACCTCATTCAAGTCTTCTGCTTTTCTTAAAAAAACAGTGTGTTGTATGACAGGATGACACAAAATGCCTCCTTTTTGCCTTATAATTTATGAATCTTTGAGACAGAGAAAAAGACCGGTTTGGGTTCTGAATAGCAGGAAAGAGTCCAGGAAATGGCATAATGAGGCAGATAGCTGAATTATTATGAAGATCACTGTTGGATAAGATCACTGTGTTGGATAAGATACAGAGACAGCTGAGGAACAGAACTCATACCCAGCCCTGAGGCACTCAGTGGAGAGAAGCAAAAAAGCAAAACAACAGTAGAAGTGCAGTAAGAAGAAAATCTGACTAAACACATGTGGAGCTACTCACATAACATCTACCTAAATTTCTTGAATCCACAAAAAAGTTCTTCTGCTGTCTTATGCAGAATATGTGCAAGGTCAGTCTTCCTGATGTTAGTAACACCAATCAATCATAAATCAAAGGAAAAACTACCTGTTATCCTGTAATAACAATTAATTTATGGAGTATTCTACATAGGATTTATTTTTCTGAAGTTAAACATACTCCATAACACACTGTATACTAATACTGGGATTTGTAACATATAAACCATCTATGGTTCCTTACCTTTTAAAGCTTCATTGATGTAATTCTGTATGTAATACACTCTGAGCTTATCATGAACCATATTCTGGTCATCGTCAATTCCATTAGCTGTAACATAAATTGGGACATCGCCATACTTTGATTTAACCCACTTGAGCAATTTACGCAGTCCCCAGGGCACTACTGCAGCTCTGTTGGGGGAATGCAGCCATGTGATGTCATTGATCATTTGAACTTCAAGATAGTGGTCATATTTTAGTGCATCTTCTTTCTCCCAGCCCACAAGGGTAGTAGTGTAGTGACTCAAGGCAAAAAAATCAAATGAGCCCTGGATTAACTTCTTTTCGTCTTCTGAGAAATAAGGCAAGTGGAAATTATACAGGTCAACACTGTTTCTTCGGTGAAGCCATGCTCTCATCACCTGTGGGTAGTCACCATTCCCAAAGATGGGCTCTGCAAGCCAGCCAATGTCGAACTCCAAAATTCTGTCAGCAACTTCTTGGTCATTCCTTGAAAAGGGACAAGCTGGTTCCACCCAGTCAGCTTGCAAAGCTATAGATATTTTACCCTTCTGAGATCTCCTGAATTCTTTGTCATAAAGATGCCATGCTTTCGCATGGGCTTTCAACAGGTTGTGCCCTGCAGTGTATGTCAAGTTTTTCACAGACGGTTCATTCATTGTGATCCAAAATTTGACATGGTCCCCAAGACTTGTAAAGCAGAATTTGGCATACTCAACAAAAGCCTGAACAGTTTCTGGGTTTTCCCAAGCTCCATATTTGGCAAGGGAAACTGGAAGCTCTTGATTCTCGGCCATAGGTTGCCATAAAGCAACAACAGGAGTTATGTTAACTCTGAGAAGTTCACTAGCAAAACACTGATAATAATGTACAAGTGTGTGGTTGATTAGAGAAAAGTTACCTAAAGGAAGAATTAAAGACCATTTCAGTGAAAAATGGAAGTGTGTGACATGCATTTCTTGCAGAAGAGAGATCTGGAGCCTGATAGCAGCAAAGTCAACACAGTGACGCTTGCGTTTCGAGGTGAAAATTCCATCCACTTTAATAAGCTTCTTCGTCTGGTGAACGTCCCACACATAAACATTAGAGTCAAGAAACTGGGTGGGTGTCGTGTCTACCTAGGTAGAATAAGAAACATACCAGATTCAAGCTGTTTGTTCTAGGTAGGTGGGAACGTCATAACCATCAGGCACAATGTAGTGAAAGAATATCCCAAGTCAAAACATTACATTTAGCACCTCTCTCGCATCTCTGATAAGATAACATCTCTGGCTCATATGAATGAATCAATCTTCTGTTAACATGGGACATCAGAAAAGTACCAAATCTATATATCATTTTCATCCTACTTTCCAAACAAGCTTATGTTAATGGTCACCATGTTTATGTCTTGGGACGACTGGTTAAGGGATCAGGAGCACAAGTAGTGTTCTCCTCTATCCTTCCAGTTGCAAGAAATAATGAGGGAAGAAACAGGAAGAGCCAGCAGATCAATACCTGGCTCCAACCATGGTGTCACCAGCAGAATTTTGGGTTTTTTGATCATGGGTTGGTCTACACGACACCAGGCCTGCTGGCAACAGACAGGGTACACCTGCCTCAAAGGGAGAAAAGAATCTTTGCACAGGAGTTAGCAGGGCTCATTGAAAGACCTTAAAACTAGATTTGAAGTGGGAAAGGGATAAAACCAGGCTCGCTAGAGATAAGCCTGGGGACATCATGCCAATGTTTGAGGGACGGTGTGCTAGCGAGGTCCTTTGGTCTGCTGTCTCAGTGGAGGCAGGGGATGGAAATCCATGTGGCAGCGAAGACGCAAGGATTATAGATGTATTAGAAACCACGGAAGCGCCCAAGAATGGTCATGTAGCAATTAGGGTTTCTCCCCCAAAAAAGGTGGTGGGATCAATAGCCCAGCTGGAGAGCATCTATACCAGTGCACGCAGCATGGGCAACGAACAGGAGGAGCTGGAAGCCATTGTGCAACAGGAAAACTATGATAGCTGCCATCACGGAAACATGGTGGAATGACTCACGCAAGTGGAGTGCTACAATGGATGGCTATAAACTTTTCAGAAGGGATCGGCAAGGAAGGAGAGGCCATGGGGTAGTCCTGTATGTTAGGGAGTGTTTTGATTGTCTAGAGCTTAATGATGGTGATGATAGGGTTGGGTGTTTATGCGTAAGAATCAGGGGAAGGCCAACAAGGCAGGTATCATGGTGGGAGCCTGAGACCACCCATCCAGGATGAAGAGGCAGACGAAATATTCTATAAGCAGCTGGGAGAAGTCTCACAATCACTAGCCCTTGTTCTTGTGGGGGACTTCAACTTACCAGATGTCTGCTGTAAATACAATACAGCAGAGAGGAAACAGTCTAGGAGGTTCCTGGAGTGCATGGAAGATAACTTCACGTACAGGACAACTAGCTGATAAGGCCTAGTCAGCTTGAGTTTATGAAAGGCAGGTCCTGCTTGGCTAACCTGATCTCCTTCTATGACAAGGTCACCCACTTAGGGGATGAGGGAAAGGCTGTGGATGTGGTCTACCTAGACTTTAGTAAAGCCTTTGACGCTGTTTCCCACAGCATTCTCCTTGATAAACTGGCTGCTCATGGCTTTGATGGGCATACTCTTCACTAGGTAAAAAACTGGCTGGATGGCTGGGCCTAAAGGGTTGTGGTGAACGGAGTTAAATCCAGTTGGCAGCCGGTCATAAGTTCCCCAGGGCTCAGTTTTCGGGCCAGTTCTGTTTAGTATCTTCATCAATGATCTGGATGAGGG